CCCCCCCCCGCCACGCCCGTTTCTTTTTCATTTGTTACTTCACATTTTCGCCCTTTTTTTTTTTGCCCATTTTTTTGGGACTACCGGTGGCACGTCGGTGGGTACCCCGCCCGACGCGGTGCGTTAACGGCTGCGTCTGCTTTTTCAAGTTGGGCAAGGTACTGGTGGTTTAAGATCCCCATTGGCAACCATGAACAACCAACAAAACCTTGGATCACAGGAACATTCAGACCGAAAAAAAACACGTGCCTTAGTGCTTTCAGCAGCCCAACCTTATCTGCCTCCCCCCTATGTCCCGATACTAAATCTCTACAAGGCCTCACACCCCCAACTACTAGGTTACAGAGTGGCACGACCCACCCCAGAAACCCCCCACCTGCTAGGCTACAGGGCAAAGAGACCCACCCCGACTCCGGCCAGCACCGACTGAGTACCAGCTCACCGATAGACACTAGAGTGCCTTCCACCCTCGACGACTCCCCAGATCTCTCTACCAGGTCTCATACCCCCGTGCAGCTCGAGTTACAAGGCAGCGCAACCAAGCCCCAACACCGACCAGCATCGTTCTGGCCTTGTCCAGTCGCAAACCACTGGGACCAAGGACATCAGCAGATAGCAGCCAAGCCCCAATCATCATCATAGTGGTAGTTCCGATCATCCAGCTCCTCCAGGCACTGGCTGCATCAGCCGACAATATTCCTTCTCAACCCTACTGCGGCAAGACTTACCGTTGTAGAACCACCATCTACACCGTTGTTATGCCCTATTTCCACCCTAAACGCTAGCTTCGCCGCAGAGCGCATTATTTCCGACCATTGCAACCAACACAACGCACTGCAACCAGCACCAAACATTTGAAGATTCCCAATGGAGATTCGGAAGGCTTCATGAGACTCAAATGCACATTACGTAAACCTACACTATCGCAGCCTGAGACACAGTTCTGGCCTGACTTTTAGCGTCACACAAACAAATGAAGTCAAGTTCCGAAATTGAGAAATAAGGGTGCAAGGCCCCAAACTTAGAAATTAGATCGAAACATTCCAGATAAGCTTATTTAAAATTTTGAATGTCAAGCAGATTTCCAGACTCCCAGCTCGCTCTTTCGAGCCACATTTCTTCGTAGAGGCTCGCTCGAGCAGAAATGTCTGGCCAGAGTAAGATTTACTTGGAGAGCCGTATGAAATGAAAGTTGCACGTATGGTTCGGAGGAGAGAAAAAACAAAGCATTTTGAATTTTGTGACATCCAGCGTCATCAAAGTGACCTCACATTATTCATGCAGTGCTTACTTAGGAACACCAAAAGCAAAGGCAACTTTCTGGGTGTCTACTGACGCTGGGGTGCGAAAGCATGGGGAGCAAACAGGATTAGATAGATCCGGCCGGGCACATGTGGGACCCATTCAAAGAGATCGTAAATATGGGAATTATAGTTAGATATATTACCGACTCTGGTTCGGAACAGAAGGAACATTTTAAGAAGAAAGTAGTAAGAGAAGTAAGAATTCATGCGAACGGACGCGGCCAGAACGACGCTGGTTGGTGCAGGGGCTTGGTCGCGCTGCCCTGTAACTCGAGTTGTATGGGGGCATGAGACCTGGTAGAGAGATATGGGGAGTTGTCGAGGGTGGAAGGAACTCTAGTGTCTGTTGGTGGGCTGGTACTTAGTCAACGTTGGCCGGAGCCGGGGTGGGTCGCTCTGCCCTGTAGCCTAGCAGGGTGGGGGTTTCTAGGGTGGGTCGCACCACCCTGCAACCTAGCAGTTGGGGGTATGAGGCCCGGTAGAGATTGAGTATTAGGGTATACGGCGGAGGCGAATAAGGTTGGGTTGCTGAAAGTCACTACAGGAGGTTCTTGGTCTGATAGCCTCTGATAATCTCGGTTGGCTTTCGGTTTCTTCACAAGTAAGTAGGTCGTTTTTTATTGCCCTTGGTGGTATTAAGAATGTTTTAGGACTCTGGGCACTCCTAACAACTTGTCTTAGGTAGTTTTCGATGTTGTTATACTCAGTGATCTGCGGCTGTTCGGTGCCAGAACAACGCTGGCCGGTGCTGGGGTGTTGCCCTGTAACCTGCTGATGCAGGAGCGTGAGGCCTGATAGAGAGATCCGGGGATGCTTTGGGGTGGGCATTCCACGGGACAACCAATGATTTCTGCTGGGACGACGCTGGTCAGAGCTGGGGTGAGTCGTGTTGCCTTGTAACCCAACAGGATGAGGGGGTGTGAGGCCTGGAAGAGCTCGGCAGGGAGTAAGACATTGTTGGAGAGCCTTGGAAGGTTTTGTTAGGGATTTCGAAGGTTTTTGCGCATTTGTAGAACCGCTGCGGTCTACTCCTATTTTTTCCCAATTATCAAAAGTGTTCTCAGACGTTTTCTCAGTCGAAGCCAGGTAATGGCCCCGGTATCTCAAAAAAAGAGCTTGAGGTGAGAGGGAGAAGGAGATGGTAGGAGATCACGAGTCCTACTAGTGAGGGGGCTAGCTGGTAGGATGGGAATAGGGTACAGCAGCAACGGGGATGGTGGCTCTGCTGCAGTAAGTCTTGTCGGAGTGGGGTATAGGGGATTGATTGGGGGTGTCTGAGTCGTTTCCGGAATTGTGCATATGTTTTTTGTTTCTCAGCTATACTTCCAAACCATCTGTTAAATTTTCATATGGGATGCTGGGCCCAGTTCCCAACATGTTTGCAGGTTTTTCTATATTTTCCAAATTGACCTATCATCAAGGGGTGTCCCTGCTCAGTTAATCCCCTGGGTTCCAGGGCAATCAATGCTAGCAGGGGGAGGTCTCTTTAATTTTTTCTCAAAAAAAAAAAAAAGGTGAGCGGGATAAGTAGATGGTTGGATATCAAGCGTCCTATTAGTGAGGGGGCTAGCTCGTAGGATGGAAATAAGGTACAACAGCAGCGGAGATGGTGGCTCAGCTGCAGTAAAGAGGATTGATGGGGGGTAGTGGTCTTCTGCGTCGTTTTCTGAATTTTGCCTGTTTCTGTAGTTTGTCGTAGCAAATTTCCCAGTAGCTCCAATTTTTCTTATAGCCGGGTAATGGCCCCCGTATCTTAAAAAACTTTCAAAACTTTCAAAATCCTATGTAAATTTCCATATGGGACGCTGGGTCCGGTTCCCAGCACGTGCTGCTCCCCACGAATAGATTGGAGCCTTGTTCTAAAAATTTTAAAAATAAATAAATAAAATAAAAAAGAATTCAGATTCAAAAGTTCAGAATCTATTTCGGATATACTATTATGAAATCACACTCGAATTTATTTATGATATGAGATGATATGAGATTTAGATTTGTGGTAGGAAATTAGGAAATTAGGATCAAAAAAATTATGTTGGAACTCTATCAAGGATTATGCATGCCAATTGACATTAGGAAAAAAAAAAAAAAAAAAAAAAAAAAAAAACAGTTAGGGTTATTTGTAATATGAAATTTTTATATTTGAGACAAATTCTTGAAGCTTTTTATATTTGAGACAAACTCTTAGCGATCAAGGTTTAGGCATCTGGGGTACGAAATACGGGAACCGAGTGAGGGAGAGAAAAGAGAAACTACGTAAGAGAGTTTTCCTCTCCCTATGGATAGGGTCCTAATACTACCCGCAACCCTTCGGCGGTGAAAAGCTATATGTCCTCGACCATACTGTGCCAGTGTGCCTCACCACACCCTCGGCCCAAAGCTTTCAATCTAGCTCTCTTGTGTCTTTCAAGTCTTTCTGAAGTGTCACCCAAACCTTTAACATTCCTGCTCACCAGTCGGACCCTACTGGGCAAGACCACGGGCCCGGGCTGGAACATTCTGCCATGAGGTTGGATGCACGGGTTAACTGCAGAGATACTACCTTCTGACGACAGGCTACTCCAGCTTGGCTTGTTGCAGCCACCGGCAAACGGAACCTGCGGTCAGCTCAGCAAGTACTAGAGGGTCTGCCTCTACATGGGCAATCCAATCTGCAATTTCCTTTGCTGTCAGATCCTCTGCCAAGGAAATTTTGCTAAGGGAATCGGATTTTTGTAAGATAAACTCTTGGACAAGGAGGGGTGTGAGCTGACGGAGACGAATTATGGACAACATATTTGTTGAGAACTTTTATTTTTTTTATTTTTTTTCAGGCTTTTCAACTTGTAAGGGACACTGGACCCAGTTTTCGGCAGGTGCAGCTCCCCAGGAATAGATTGGAGCCATCGGAACTGTCCCAACTTCTAACATTTGGGCCTCTTACCACCCAGGAGTCAGAAGCCCCGGCCCCTGTCGATGTTAAACCACCAGTAGTTGGCCTAGCTATCGGCCGTGGGCGATTCCCGTTAACGCGCCGGTAGTTGCGCGCTTCGAGGCACTAAACCGCAATGGCTGGAAGCGCCAGCCGAAATGAAAACGAAACGGTGCCCCGGCGGCTTGGCAAAACTTGGCGCACAGGGGGTATCCCCGCTCGGCATCAATAGCTGGGCCAAGTACTGGTGGTTTAACAAAAGAGAAGTCAAAAAAGGATTCCGAAGTCCATTACCATGAGGCACGGTCCTATTAGCCAAAGGAACCTGTGATGACTGGTTCTGGCCGCGCAGGAGCTTCGACCATTCTTCAACTTCAGCAAGCTGTCCCTGAACTACCGAGTACAGGGGGGTTTCCCTGCACTCACATTCTGGGTCAGTGATGTGGAGGTTGTGAGTGACTTTGGAAAAGGTAAGAGCTCGGTGCTGTTAGGTATCTGTTTCTCCTGGGGATGGTAAGGGTTTCGTTTTTTTTTTGTTTTTTTTTTTTTTTTTTTTTTTTTTTTTTAAAGGCCCTTGTGCAAGACCTCTATCCTGGTGGTGGTAGGAGAACCACCGGGATTGAAGTCATAAAAATATTTGTGTTAATGATCAAATTATCCTTCGGCCTAGCTTTCAAGTTTCCAGTGGTTTTCTGTTTGATACTCTGACTGTGGTTATGTTAATTGTGGTCACTTTTATCAGTAGTTTAGTTCATATTTATTCAATCTCATATATCTCTGAGGATCCTTTTTTGCCTCGATTTATGTGCTATTTATCTATTTTTACTTTTTTTATGCTCATGTTAGTTACCGGGGATAACTTGATTCAAATGTTTTTAGGATGGGAAGGAGTAGGTATCGCATCATATTTGTTAATTGATTTTTGGTTTCGTCTTGAAGACGAGAGGGTGGGGACAACTGTGGTACAACAGGCTCGGGATGAGGGGATGGTGAGATCGGGTGTTGGTTAGGAAGGTATGGGCGGAGGAGAATTTTTCGATGTTGTCCTTCACCACTGATGCTAGTATTACAATATGATTGCAAAATAACGGGTGAAGCTATGGAGGGCTGGTGCACATATTTAGCTCGACCTTGGAAGAACGCCGGTTTGTTGATTTGCTCTCTATTGGGGTACGGGAGTGAAGCACATGAAAAGTTCCCTTGCATGATCACAACAGTATGATAGTGGTAGTTTAGCCATAGGGGGCTCTTGGCTTTTCTCTCCGGGCACACTGATTATCTGAAATGCGCATAATAATGATCTCTCGAGGAGAATTTGAGCGGTTGATATAGTCAGAATGTGTTCGCATATAATTTGCTCTCACGATTTGGGGTTATGGACTGGGGAACAGTTGCTTGTAGGGTAACTTCCGGTAGGGATAGGGCGGCAGTTTCCCTGTGTGGGAGGGTCTCGGGGAAGTTTCACTCTGCAGAAGACCGGGGTGTTACAGCTGGGGGTCAAGGCTGCTAATCAACGAAACAATTAAGTTATCGAGACAAAATCAGAACAATACGGCCTTTATATTTATAGATTTCGAAAAGGCTTACGATCATGTAGATTGGTGTTTTTTGGAAGCATGTCT